TGGTTTTTTTGTTGATATATATAATACTATGTTTATTGAAAGTCATATATGCATAATTTTTTAGTGATTTCTGGGACATGAAATAGATATGAAATATAGAGCGCGAAGGACGATTTTTTTTTTAATAGAAAAACTCAAATATGTTTTTGGGTATCGTAAATAGAAATAAGAAAAACCATAAAAATGTCTGATGTTTTGCACATTTTCACTCATAAAATTTTACTGTTAATTAAAACTGAAAATCTATCTTAAGCTTTAAAAAACAATTAAATTAATAATTTTTTAATAAGTAGTAAGAAAGTTCTAAGGGTATAAACTGGCCCAATTTTTGCGAAATCTTGATTTCTTCAAAATTTCATAAAATTACAAAGAACTTAAAAACTAATGGGCGGATCGTAGTTTTGTTATATTTTTATATTTGTAACAAATACACATGAACATATATAAATATACATAAATGTAAATGTACAATGTCTGAATGCAGTAGTGTGACTAGATGCTAACCAACTACATAAACTTATAACACTCTCCAGCCATTAAGTCAACCAAACTTGTGTTAGCTTGATAACATAGTCTCAGACGTAAGATCACTAGTACTTAGACTAGTATTTTAACACTACACTGAAATAAATATTCAATATTAGAGCGAAAAATTTGCTGATTCTGTTGCTCGTTCCGAGCAACGAACCGATAAACTCGGTTAATGCATTCTCACTTTTGCTGATAAAAGTTGATATTATTCAAATAATAGGCACATTTTAATCGAATTCAACTTGCGATGATATTCGTTTTTGTTTGGTTTTCAGGCATGACTTGCAGAACCTCAACCGAGTTTGTTATAAATTCGAGGCATAGTATTATGAGGTTTAGTATGCGAAAGTAATTTGGCGTGCGCCATTCTTCGGGACATAATAGATGCTACTAAAAAGTTATACTAAAAAAAATATCGAAACAAAAGTTTGTTGTTATAAACAAAATATTGGTAAAACCGAAAATAAATATAAACAAAAACTTATAACAGCTGATCGATGTTACTTTAAATTTAAATAAAATTATATGACAAACTAAACAAATCAAAAAATATTTAAAAATACATTATTTGTATTGTAAAAATAATTTATAAAATAATTTACTATATGTGTGTAAAAATATCTAATCATCGGTTACACTAATACACATTGAAGTAATTTTCTAAACGAATTTAGAACCGGTTATATCTAGTGAAGTTCATTACAAAACGACTTGTAAGTTATATGTAAAATGAAGGCGTAATTTTAATTAATAAATAAATATTGATATACATACATGTTAATTAAAAAAAAAACTACTTACTTTATCTTAACACATTGTGTTCATTAACTAAAAATATAATATTAGAAGTGATTTGTTGTCACGCTCTATTGTTCCAATATTTATATAGTGTTTTATAATGATTAGGTCGACAATACCAAGACAAGATTTTAGTTGAAAGTAGAAATTAAATATTTCTGAAGCTTTATCAACTTCTGGCACTTTGTTTTAATTCTTTTTAGTACGCAATTTATAAAATTGAGGATTGATTTGGATTTAGTACAAATCTTCTTTCTTCCTCGAAGTGCCTTATCCATATTAAACGTTGGCGAAAATGATTGATATTTTTGTTCTGTCAGCATTTTCGCGGAAAATCGATCTTGTACCTTTCATAAACCGTTGTCATATCTTTTTCAAAAATTATACCTTTGTCTACCAGGGCGCGTCGATCTTAAATTTTGCTTTCAATGATTAATTTAAGTGGTGCATATTTTTTTGGGGATCTTTAAGATATGACCAAAGTATTCTAATATTTGCCGTTTAACTGTCTGCAATATTAATCATTCTTTGTTAGCGTGTAAAAGTAGGTTCCCTCCAACTGTTTTTCAGCAAACATCGATAACGTCATTATTCGAAGGCTTCAAGTTTATTCATCGACTCAAAAGTAACGTTAATTCTTCATTAAGTAATGTAGAATAAATGAAGCATTTCATATACAAGGAGAAAATCAATAAATTTGCAACAACTATGTTGACTTGTACACTACTGAAATTTGTATACACAAAATTAATTAAATAATTTGGAATATACTATCCATAGAATATAAAGTGTTCTTAATTTGAAACAGTGTTACATATTCCGTACAAGACTATGTTATTTCTAGTTCGGATAGTGTAATATATAGAGATTAAATTTAATCCACAATCAAATAAAATATTTCTTTCAATAGAAAATCTCTCAGTCCTACAATTCATAACTAACTTCATGCAGATATATTAACACTTGGGAATGTGAAAAGTCTATATTATAATAAAAATATATATATACATATGTTATAAAATTGCTAATTGTATTGCATAATTGCATTCTTCCCTTCTTACGCAGCTAAAATGGTATCTACCGAAGCTCTGTTCCTAATTACTGCTGCCATTGGCTTAATTTATTTTTGGATCAAACACAATTATAGCTATTGGCAACGCAAGGGCATTCCGTACTTAAAACCAATCCCCATTATTGGTAACACTAAACCTATGCTAACATTAAAAACGAGTATTGGTCTCAATATATCAAATATCTATAATGATAAATCAATGAGCAATGAAGCAGTAGTGGGAATATACAGTTTCCATAAACCCGGATTAGTTATACGAGATATTGAATTAATAAAATCAATTTTAATCAAGGACTTCAATAAATTTTCAAACCGTACATTAGCATGTGATCCACATAATGATCCACTTGGATCGAATAATTTATTTTTCGTTAGAAATCCAGAATGGAAAGAAATCAGAACAAAACTATCACCAGTTTTTACAAGTGGTAAAATAAAACAGATGTATCCACTCATGCTTGATGTAAGTATTAAAAACTTATGTATTATATAATAAATATATAATGATTTTTAAATAATTTTTTTTTAAAAAGATTGCAACAGAATTGGAAAATCATTTGACATCTTATAAGAAAACGAATAATTCCTTTATTACAGAAGTAAAGGAAATTTGTGCTCTATTTACTACAGATGTCATAGCTACTATAGCATTTGGTTTACGTGCCAACAGTCTCAAAAATCCAAATGCCGAATTCCGTCAGTATGGACGTATAATGATGCAATTTGGTTTGCTCCGCGCTTTCCATACATTCATCAGTTTATATTTGCCGAAATTAGTTAGACTCTTTCGTGTGAAAATATTCTCTGAAGAGTTTTCCAAGTTCTTGCGTAAAACTATTAATTATGTAATATCGGAACGTGAAAGCAGTGGAACCATTCGTAATGATCTTATTGATATTTTTGTATCCTTAAGAAAAGAAGCAGCAAATGCTAAAAGCCTATATAGAGCTAATGAAAATGATTTTCTAGTAGCTCAAGCGGCACTTTTCTTGACTGCAGGGTTTGAGACATCATCTTCAACAATGGCTTTTGCACTTTATGAATTGTCGAAAAAGCCAGAACTACAAAAACGTTTACGAACAGAAATTTGCAACGCATTCTTAGCTGAAAACGGAAAAATATCTTATGAAAATATTCAAAATCTTCAGTATTTGGGAATGGTTGTTGATGAGGTTTTGCGTATGTATCCTGTATTACCATTTTTGGATCGCGAATATAGTAAAACTAAAGACGAGTCAGATTATACACTTCAACCACACTACAATTATGCTATTCCAAATGGTATGCCAGTATACATTCCAATATATGCAATACAACGTGATCCAAAGGTATTTTAAATATTATTATCATATTATAAAGTTTTTGATTTCATATTATTTTAATTTTAGTATTGGTCAAATCCAGATGTTTTTGATCCAGAACGGTTCTCATCAGAAAATAAAAAGAGTCATACTCCTATGACATATTTGCCATTTGGAAATGGACCACATAATTGTATAGGAAGTCGCTTGGGATTACTTCAAACTAAACTTGGTTTGGTGCACTTTTTGAAAAATCATTTTGTTGAACCTTGCGATCAAACACCATCTAAAATGGAATTCGATCCCAAGTCTATTGTATTACAATGTTCTACGGGTATTTACTTAAATGTAGTTAATGACCGCATGTACGATGTGAAAGCATCGGCAAAATCATAAAAAAGGGAAAGGGAAAGGAGAGAAAATAATATTTGTATGAAATATTTATTTTACCTTCTTTAGAAGATGAAGATAGGAAATGAAGTATTGATTTACACCTTATACACTGTAAGCTTGTTTTGTTTTAATTGTTATCATAATTGTTATAATTGAGTCATATGCAATCTTTCTATGAACATAATTGAGAAAAAATAAACTTTGTTGAAATATTGAACAATGAACACATTTTTTTTATGATTTCTGTTTGTATTGAAAATAATAACTCTTGTAATTAAATATGAGCTAATAATAAGGTAGTCTGTTGTCTATTTATATACAAGGGACATCTCATTATAATATAAAGTGGAAAGAAAAATAAATTTCCGTCTTGTTGCCTCGTTGAAAATGGAACCGACGCATTATACAATATGATCATGAAGAAACTCTCATAATAAGAAAAACGGATATAGATTTTGATTATTATAAACGGCAGACCAACCTAGATGATAGCTATTTAGGAATATTCATTTAACGAACAAAGTTTTTTCTTTATTAAAAATAACAGCATAGGGTCGATTGCCTAACTGGACGACAGTATAATTTGATATAAAAAAACCCTACAGGTAAGGGGTCAAAAAATTGTTTAAGATTCTTACTAGTAAAA